GTTTCCTCATCTGTAAAATGAAGCTGATAATCCTAGCTAGCTCTTCTTACCTACACAGGATTTTAATTAGAATCAAGTGAAGATGGATATGAAAACACTATAGAGTTTCTGATTATTGAAAGAGCTGAGAATTAAACTAGGTCTTGAAAAATATATTATACATGGAAAACCTGAAAGGCTGAATAGAAGTGGTCTCAGAATGGGAACAATTTAAACATAGGAGAATAAGACTTGGGCCAGGCACAGTGGCTCATGCCTGTCATCCCAGCACTTTAGGAGGCCACGGTGGGCAGATCACCTGAGGTCAGGAGTTCGAGACCAGTCAGGCCAACATGGTGAAACCCCATCTCTACTAAAAATACAAAAATTAGCTGGGCATGGTGGCACACACCTGTAGTCCCAGCTACTCAGCAGGCTGAGGTATGAGAATCGTTTGAACCTGGGAGGCAGAGGTTGCAGTGAGGAAAGATCATGCCACTGCACCCCAGCCTGCGTGACAGAGCAAGACTCCATCTTGAAAAAAAAAAAAAAAGTAACTTAATTATAAAAATATAGAAGGACAGGAATATAGAAGGACAGGATAGAAATAATCTAAACAGGCTGGGCAAGGTGGCCCACGCCTGTAATCTCAGCACTTTGGGAGTCCAAGGCGGGCAGATCACTTGAGGTCAGGAGTTCAAGACCAGCCTGGCCAAGGTGGCAAAACCTCGTCTCTACCAAAAATATAAAAATTAGCCGGGGGTGGTGACTCAAGCCTGTAATTCCAGCTACTCAGGAGGCTGAGGCATGAGAATCACTAGAATCTCTTGAACCCAGGAGGCAGAGGTTGCAGTGAGCAGAGATCACACCACTGAACTCCAGCCTGGGTAATGGAGTAAGACTCTGTCAAAAAAAAAAAAAAGAAAGGGGAAAAAAAACCTAAATATAGCAAAAATTTGTTTTGAAAGGTAGTTACACTGATACACTGATTATGTTAGAGAAAGGATGAAGTTGAGGATTATATGCCATAATGACTGGATTGTATTAGGATTTGAATTACGGTGGATCTGAAGGCTAGAACGAAGAGTTTAGACTTGATCTGAAAGGGAATAGAGAAGTATTTGGGGAGTTTGAGTAGGGAATTAGTGTAAAAGTTATTTAACTCATTCGTTTTGATAATCAGCATGTAACATAGTGCCTGGCATACAGGTATTAAAGATTAGTCAAACTGAATTTAGTGTTCTGTCAATAATATGTAGGATGAATTGGACACATCTGATAAGCCTAGAATCTAGGCTTCTTATCAACTCAATGTTAGTCTGATTCATCTTTTTCTTTAACTATAACAAGGAATGATAATACCGGCCAGCTAGTAGGTTTATTTTAAACATCAAATAAGATGATGGTGATGCCATCATCATTCACAAATACATTAAATGCCTCCTTCATGTAGGATGTTGTGTAAAAACTACGAAAACAAAAATACCTTTAGATATAAGTGCTTTGGAAAATGTGATGAATATAAGTTTGAAATACAGAGTTCTAAAGGATCTGGTAGCAAGAGGATAGTATATAGCAGCCAAAAGATCATCTTACTGCTATATTTAGTACCAGGTTATGTCCCTATTATTGTCAGAACCTGCTAGACATCAGTAGGATCAAGTAGAGAAGAAAATACCAGGTGCAGTCAGGTATTTAAGGTCCCCAAGAATTCTCCCTGTTGGCAATAGACCTTTTCAGTTTAAACCTGTAATGAACCTCCATCATCATGGAGACAATATAGAATACTGTTTAAGAAAGAAGGTTCTGGAGCCAGAATAACTGACTGGATTTGAAATACTGCTGTATAATCTTAGGCAAATTATTTAACCTCTCTGAGCCTCATAGAGATAATAATAGAATCAGGATTGTTTATAAGAATTAAGTGAGATTGTGCATTTAAACTCTATTTTTTTTATTTTTTTTATTTTTTTATTTTTTTACAGAGATAGGGTCTCCCTAAGTTGCCCAGGCTGGTCTCAAATTCCTGGGGTCAAGGGATCCTCCTGCCTCAGCCTCCCAAAGTGCTAGGATTACAGGTGTGAGCCACCACACCTGGCCATGTACACTCTTAATAGAGCACCTGACACACATTGAATGTCAGCTCAAAAATTTCAGTTATTTTATTTTCAAAACCTTCTTGGCTCCTTTAGCCTCCATTCTTTGTTACTCCCAAAATCACTTCCCATTCTTCTATCTCTGTCTTACTACATTTTAGGACACTGATGGTATTAGGCCACATTTGGTTCATTCAACTATAGTAAGTTCTACAGCATTATCATTGAACAGATCTTAAAATATCTTCTGAATTTATAGAAAAGCTCCAATATATTCCTAAAATAGAAGTAAATAAATAATTTTAAAATCTTCTGAATTTAATATTATATTATCTTCAAAGTAGCTTAAGAATTACATTTACCAGCCAGGCATGATGATTCATACCTGTAGTCTCCACACTTTGGGAGGCCAAGGCAGGAGGATCACTTGAGCCCAGAAGTTTGAAACCAGCCTGGGCAACATGGCAAGACCTCATCTTGACAAGTGTAGTGTCACATGGCTGCGGTCCCAGCAACTTGGAAGTTGAGCCAGGAGGACTGCTTGAGCCCAGGCGGTTGAGAGTGCAGTGAGCTGTGATTGTGTCACTGCACTCCAGTCTGGATGACAGAGCAAGACCCCGTCTAAAAAAAAAAAAAATTTACATTTATCTTGTTATAGTCTAAGTAGTTCTTTGGAAACAATAATCCATAATGTATTTCCTCATAATGTTTTTCTTTATAAATTTTCTAGTTTATTTCCATAAGCATATTTTACTTTTCTAATATATATATTTTTAGCTTTTAATGTAACGTGTAAAAGATGGGGTATAGAACAGCAAATCGGGCCCTGAGTTAATTTAATAGATCATGGAGTAGCAGGAGACACTTATAATGCACAGGAAAATAAAAAGCTAAACTCTTTATGAGGGCAGTTTGACAATATCTACCAAGTCCTAAGATGTTTAAAATATTTCAAACTGCCAATTCCACCTCTAGGTATTGATCCAACAAGTATATTCACATGTATGCATAAATATTTTTTCAATATCCCTGTCATGACATGAACAAAAATTATACAAACACATGTTCATAGTGATATTGTATATAATAGTAAAGACTGGAAACAACTTAAATGCCCATAAGTAAAGGACTGTTTAAATAGATTATATATGATTGTACAATAAAATGCCTTATATTCATTTGAAAGAATGAGGGAGATTTACAATAACATGGGAAAAATGTCTAAGGTATAGTGATAAGTAGGGGGGAATGCAAGCAGAGTAATACGTATAATTCTGTGTGTGTGTGTGCGCGCGCGCACGCGCGCGTGTGCTTCTTAAAGAGCAGCTACAATCTATTGCTGCTTGCGTATACAAGCAAAATTTCTGGAAATATTAATAACAATCATCTCTGGGAGTAAGATGATGAGAATGAGAATAGTGACTTTTATTTTACCTTTCTGAATTCTAAAAAGTGATTTAAACATTCAGCATGTGTTAATATTATTTTAAAAACAACTAGTTTAAAAAATAAAATGTTTCATCTCTGAGAGGTCTGAAAAAAAGAAAAGAGAAAACATTTAAAGAGATAAAGTGGGGACTAAATGGTTAAATGTTTTGTAAAGTGTGTTTGATGTGAAAAGTGATCTGTAAATACCTATTATTTTTACTGAACAATAGAGTTTGGGGCTTTTGTAACCTGAAGAAAGCAGCATTTCAGCATCTCTTCCTACAGGAGCATATGGTATTTAAGACCATGAGGGGATGAATGCGTTAGAGATCACCTCTCCTACAGTTGATAGGCAGATCTTTTCAGTGTTTTCCATTACTCTTATGGAGGAAAAGTTCTATGGAAAAGACTATAAAGGTTCAGTGACATTGTTCAATCCAGTGTTTAAAACTATGGTCAGATATTCTTTTTTAAAAAATTAGCCACATGGTGATTGCAAAACATGATTGCTTTTGTTTACAGAGTTTGGTTTATTGTATTATATAAAGAATGCCATTGACTAAGTGTAGTAAGATACCTCTTGGTGAAAATTCAGATATTATCTTGAGAGTTTTGTCCTAATGTTTTACAGATTAACAGGAGACAGAATGTTGCATTACTCTGTAATTCTAAGTGTTGGTTTTCTTCCTTTTGATACTCAGGGGATTAACTTACCATTTATTTTTCTACATTGAGCCCTTAGAGAAAACATAAAAATACAAATAGGTCCTGTGGTATAATCATTTTTTCTTATGACTAAGTATTTTAAAACTAAAATTCCGTAAATTAAAGCTATTACATGAAAGCTTTAAAAATACAAAAATTGAGCACTGCACATTTCACATTACTACAAATAGTAATACTGAGTTAATGTAAAACTACCTGGCAAACAATCATAGTAAAGACTTCCTGGATGAAATGGTGGTACATAGGGGAAATTTGTATATATTTTATTTTTTTCTTTATTATTATTATTTTTTTAATGAGATGGGGTCTCACTATCTTGCCCAGGCTGGTCTCAAACTCCTGGGTGCAAGCAATTATCCTGCCTCTGCCTCCCAAAGTGCTAGGATTACAGGTGTGAGCCACTGTGCCCAGACGGGTATTTTAATATTCATTCATTCGTCAACTTCAGGGTAATGAAAGAAAACAAATACAACTAGCTTTCTATTATTGAAAGCTGAATGACCAATATATGGATGATGATGATAATAACAATAAAAAAATTTGGTGTTGTTCACAAAGTACTTTTGTCCCTGTATCTCTTTTTTGGAGAGTCTCACTCTGTCACCCAGGCTGGAGTGCAGCAGTGCAATCTTGGCTCACTGCAACATCCGCCTCCCAGGTTCAAGCGATTCTCCTGCCTTGGCCTCCTGAGTAGCTAAGATTACAGGCAACCACCAGCACGCCTGGCTAATTTTTGTATTTTTAATAGAGAAGGAGTTTCACCATGTTGGTCATGCTGGTCTTGAACTCCTGACCTCAAGTGATCCACCTGCCTCGGCCTCCCAAAATGCTGACATTACAGGCATAAGCCACTGTGCCAGCCTTTTGTCCCTGTATCTTAATCAGCCCATGAGGTAAACATTACCTCAGTTTGATTACCCCAGTTTAAGATTAAAGAAAGTAGGGCTAGGATAGATTAAGGTTTGCCGATAGACAAAGCAGCTAGAACCTGGACCTTCTGATATCAGCATCATTGCCACTTTCTAATGTTGTCCACTTTAGCTATTTTTCAGATTTGTGGAAGAGCATAGAGGATAATCTCTAACGTTTTCATTTTCTTAGTGAATAAGGTGCACGGTGAGTCTTACCTTCAAGTTGCCAGACATTAAAGCGAAAGAGTAAATTTTTGTGCCAGGCACTCTTTTAAGTACTTTATGTAAATTAATCCTCACAATAACTTCATAAATTAAGTGCCAAGTACTGAGCCAAAGACTAAGTAACTGAAATTCATAGCTAATGGTTGCAGTATGATCCAAACCTGGCCTATTAATTCCAAGGCCAGAGTTTTTAACTACTGGGCTCTACTGCTTTGCACTAGGTGACTGCTTAACTGGATTAAATACATTTTCTCCAGAAGGATGAGATTCCTTTCTAAAAATTTTCCAACTCTCATAAGAACAGATGTAGGGACATTTCCTTAGGGTTTTGTTATCCCATTTTATAGATGAAGGGACTTGGCCAGTCTCAGTTTATTAAGTGACTATGTTAGAACTACAGATTAGGTCCCCTGGCTTATAGCATATTGCTTTTGGCATCAGTTCAAGTGATCTACGCATGTTGAAATTTTGTCACAGCAGCAAAAGCATATCTACTACATCCTTCATTCTCATTTCAGCGTACCTTCAGATCTGTCCTGGAATACAGTTAGGTCAGCATGTAAGTCTCCAGTGTTCACTGTTTTACAGTGATTATACCATAAGGGATACATGGATACACAGTAATGGAAGTACTTTAAGCATTTTCTACTTAAGCATTTTTTTTTCTTTTTCTTTTTTTTTTTTTTTGAGACGGAGCCTCGCACTGTTGCCCAGGCTGGAGTGCAGTGTGGCACTATCTCAGTTCACTGCAGGCTCCGCCGCCTCGGTTCACGCCATTCTCCTGCCTCAGCCTCCCAAGTAGCTGGGACTACAGGCACCCGCCACCATGCCCGGCTAATTTTTTGTATTTTTTAGTAGAGACAGGGTTTCACCGTGTTAGCCAGGATGGTCTCGATCTCCTATCTTCGTGATCCGCCCGCCTCGGCCTCCCAAAGTGCTGGGATTACAAGTGTGAGCCACTGCACCCAGCCACATTTTAAATACTATTAATGTGTCATCCTACAAAAACCTAATTTGGTCATAGCTAATATTGTCAAGAGCCAACGTTTTAGAACATTCACATTTTGAATCTTGAAATGGTCGGCAAATGACATGACAAAGCTAATTTCAAATCTTCCAACTCAAGCAGAATGTAAAGAAAGGCAGCAATTTTTCTTCAGGGCCTTTGTGCAAAATTTGTTTTTTAGAGAAAGCCCCTTCTGACTTCATGTAGAGTAAAAAACTAACTTAGTTTATTTCATGCTGCTCAATCTAATTTGAAATCATTTTTGAATTCCTAGATGCATGGGTACAGAGAGCTTGCTCCCTAGAGCCTTGTTTACCGACAGTGGAGAGTAAAGAATTAAATTGAGCTGAAACTAAATTGATTGGGATTTTGACACTCTGCAGACTATGCAAAGAAAAGGAATTTGTTCAACTTTTAAAAACAGGCAGTAGCAGAAAACTATTTTCTTAAAGGTATCCCAGTTTGCAAAGATGATTTAATTTTTTTCTTAAAAAAGCAAGAGACAGGCCAGGCGCAGTGGCTCACACCTGTAATCCCAGCACTTTGGGAGGCCAAGGCGGGCAGATCACTTGAGGTCAGGAGTTCGAGACCAGGCTGGCTAACATGGTGAAACCCTGTCTCTACTAAAAATACAAAAAATTAGTCAAGCATGGTGGCGGTCACCTGTAATCCCAGCTACTCGGGAAGCTGAGGCACAAGAATCGCTTGAACCCGCGAGGTAGAGGTTGCAGTGAGCTGAGATCGTGCCATTGCACTCCAGCTTGGGCAATAAGAGTGAAACTCCGTCTCAGAAGAAGAAAAAAAAAAAAAAAAAAAAAAAAAAAAGCAGGAGACATGTTCTAGCACTTTCTCAATTTCCTATATTGCAGTTCAAAGTGAGAATTTAACTTTGAGAAGCTTTTGAAAAAGCCTGGATAGGGATGTTAACATAGCCTCTTTTGCTGAACAGACACTGACAGAGGTCTTCTGAGGAGAAAGGAAAGGACTATGCACTTCTGGGGCGTCGCTATAGGAACCTATTTATAAAAGACAAGATACATATTTATGAAATCTTTGTCTCTGGCATTTTTAAATGCAAGAGATATTAAGTATGAATTGAATAATATATATTTCCTGTTTTTTCAGACAGATACAGATGATTACCATGCCATTATCTGTCCCAAATGGCATCATTTAGTGTTGACTTCAATAAAATCCTCTCTCTGCTGTGTCATGAAAGGAACTGGGAACTGGACTCACCTTAACAGTGCTGTTTTAAAGTGCCTGCTGCTTTTTTTTTTGTTTTTTTTTTTTTAATCACAGCAGGAGGCTGTAATAAATTACAGCCTGGAAGAAGTTTTAAACTGGCAAGTTTGCCAGATATTTTAAGCAATTTATTTTGGGGTGTATCAGCAGATTTTTTCTTACACTACCATTTGGGTGCCTGCTGACACAGCCTGAATAAATCTTTCAAACATTTTCCTTCCTAGAGATGGATGAAGATGATGAACTCCAAGATCCAGACTTTTCATTAACTCTTCACTTGCCACCTGGTGCTTTCCTATTACCAGATATCTCAGAAACTTAGATAACTCTTTCCAGTGTGAGTTTGCAGTATTTCAAGTCCCTCAAAGTGATTTGGCAACAGCCATAAGTTTTATGGAAGAATCAACTAAGAGTACTTCTGGTTTTAGGCATAAAACTTGTAATTTGGATTGATTATTTCATTACTAGTATCTTGAAAATTGCCAAACTTTCCAATGGGAAAAGAGCATGAATATTTATATAAAACAAAGGCTTATTATTTTCTTGATTATAGCATGTTGAATCTTAAAGTGACTTCTTCCTAATTTTAATCTGTTTTCTAATTGGTTAGTGAAGTTTTTAGAAATTATTATTAATTTCTGACTCCAGAATTCCTAAGGCAGCTTCAGTGATACGTATTTTAGTCTAGTATTCAAAAATGCTGAAAATGCTGATACCTGAAAATATTTGCTGTAGCATAATGAGACTGGAAAGGTAAAATAAAAGAAACTAACTTCTATTGAATGCCTGCACCGTGCCAGCCCCGTTTGTAAGCACAGCATGCAGGAGAGAGAGAGCGCAGTCATATTTTACAAAGAGCTGGTCCCTGGTCAGGTGAAAGGCACTGCTCAGTGAATTGGAAGGAACATGGTTAAGGGCTTAAAACTGTAAAGGCGTCAGGGAATACCGTTTGAAGGTAAAAGCCCTAGATCAAACGTCATAAAACCTGGGTTCCTGAGTGACATTATTTATAAACGAGGTCATCTGTTTAGACCTTAAATGTTACCATATCTGTAAAGTGAAGATATGATCTCTACCCTGCCTTCTCAACCATGGCTGCACTTTGGAATCACCCGGGGAGCTTTGAAGAATACGTCTAAATCCCACCTTCAAGAGATTCCAGTTCTCTTAAGGTGCAGCCTGGGCACTGAGATTTTTTAAACCTACCACAAGTAATTCCTATGTGCAGCTAAGGCTGTGAATCCTTGGATTGGAGGATGGCTAAAAAAAGCCCTCTATAGATGTACTTACAAAGATTAGTAGATGTTATCGACAATCTAAATTGTTTTGTTTGTTTGATCATAACTTCAACTGTTTAAAAAAAAAAAAAAAAAAGTCTGGTGGGGCGCCCTGGCTCACACCTGTAATCCCAGCACTTTGGGAGGCCGAGGCGGGCGGATCACCGGAGGTCAGGAGTTTGAGATCAGCCTGGCCAACACGGTGAAACCCCATCTCTACGAAAAATACAAAAATTAGCCAGGCGTGGTGGCGCAAACCGGTAATCCCAGCTACTCGGAAGGCTGAGGCTGGAGAATCGCTTGAACCTGGGAGGGGGAGGTTGCAGTGAGCCGAGATCGCACCATTGCATTACAGTCTGGGCAACAATAGCAGAAACTCCGTCTAAAAAATATATATACACACACACACACACACACACACGTATGTGAGTGTAAGCTCTGAATTTCCACATCACATAGGAAGTCTTTGATACATATTTGTTGCACTTGTGAATTTATGGCCTTTAAACTTTTTAAGATCTGTCAAAAACGTGTTTGAGGTACAATGTATAAAGCCAATCTTTAAGAGGGAGGACTTTTCTGTTGAAACACCCTCCTTTAGAGAAATGCAAGCCTTTCTCGCGCACCCCCGACTAGCTTCACTCCCTTACCGAGGCAGCGCTGTCTTGGAGGCCGCCGGATGCCCTAAAGGCTGTGACGCGCGCTGCGGGATCCGCGCGGGCGTCCCGAGATCTGGGGCGGGGCGCTGGCCGGGCCTACCCTCTCCGCTCTCAGGGCCCGCCCACCCCGCCGTCCCGGACGCGGGTAGGGGCGGGCTGCTGGCGGTGCCCGTCAGTCCGGACTCTACTGCCGAGTCCCGGGGCTTCGGCGGCTGCCTCCGCGCGACCCGGCGGGCCCGCCTCCACCGCCAGGTGCCCGCGCCGCCTGCGCCTCGTGCCGGAGCAGAGCAGAGGCCAGGATGCAGAGTTGTGCACTTTGAGCCGGCCCCATGACCCTGAGCACGTTGGCCCGCAAGAGGAAGGCGCCTCTCACTTGCACCTGCAGCCTCGGTGGCCCCGACATGATTCCTTACTTCTCCGCCAACGCGGTCATCTCGCAGAACGCCATCAACCAGCTGTGAGTCCGCCGCGCGCCCTCCGCCTCCGCGAACGCTCAGAAAGTTTGCTCTTTCAACAGCCTCTTTCCCCAGCATCCTTGGGAGCAAACAAGCAAGCGAGGGCGAGCGCGCATCCTGCGTGCCTGGAGGTCTCCGGGCGTCTGGAGGGAAGGATGCTGGGGTAGAACGATGGGAGGATTCATGGAGGCGGAAAGTGTCCCGGGGTGGGATTGGACGGAAGAATCCTTTGGGAGAATTTCCGGTAAACTTTGAGGGACTTTGAAAGTGCGAGTTGTCCGTGAGTAGTTGTGGTGACCGAGTGACAGCTGAGCCGTTTGGCACTTGGAAGACTGGGGTGAAGGGTGGTGGACAGAATCCGAAGCGGGAGTCCCTGTGGGTCCTGCTGGTGAGCAGCCTTCCATGATTATGGGTTTTGTTTGTTTTAAATAAGTTTCTGTTGCTAGCCATTTACAAAAAGAAAGGCCATTCTTCGCTCCTGCTGGTTGTGGTCTGGAGTGATTCCAGAAAGCTAGATTTCGGTAGTTTCTATTTTTTCTCCTCCTGTACTACTAATACGTGCTCCAGCCCAAACCTGCACGCACACCTTCATTCACCAAAGTGCAAGTGCATCTTTAAATCGTCGCTGTTTTTGAAGTCTCTAGAGAGTTGAAGTTCTGAGAAGTGTGTGTGCTGAAGCTTGTGGTTAATCTCACCTCACAGTTATCAAGTAGAGGAACTTTTCCTATTTAGGTTCCATCCTTAAATCAATGCAGTGGTTTAAGGTTACTTAGCAGCAGTTTGGTCTGTGTTAGTGTATTGACAGTCATTCCAAGTGACTTCAGAGGAGTCACCTGCTGAGGTTTTCCTAGACTCTGCACTTAAGCAAAGCTACTGTCTCCGTCCCAGGTCAACTTTTTAATGTCCAACAACAGAAACTTTACATTATCCCTTATTAAAGGTCTAGAGAATAGCATGTAAGGTGATTTCTAGATAATCGTATAACTAATATTATTTTCATAGATGGTTTGCCCTCCTAGCCTACCAAATAGAATTAAACTCGTTTGAGTTTCTTTTTTACCCCTGTGTGTTGATTCATGGTGGAGCTTCTAAAAAAAATAGAAAAAAAATCACAAAAGTTGTTTTACTGCCCTGTACTGTAAAAGCTCCACAATTAAATAAACTGACTGACTTGCATTTTCCGTCTAAAAAGGGAAAGGAACATGGAGTGAAGGAGAAGTTAATGGGTGAATAATCTGACACTGATAACCAGTATGAAAATAATAGTGTTAACAGTACTTTAAAAATGGCAGTGGAAGCAACCCAAGTGTCCATGGATGGATGAATGGACTAACAAAATGTGGTATGTATGTATAGTAGAATATTATTTAGCCTTAAGGAAGGAGTCTGACATATGCTACAGTATGAATGACCTTGAAGATACTATTCTAAGTGAAATAAGCCAGTCACAAAAGTAGAAAGACTATATGATTTCATTTATATGAGGTACCTATCTATAGAAGTCAAATTCAGAGAGAAGTAAAGTAGAATGGTGGCTGCTAGGGGTTGAGGGAGAAGGGGTGGGAAATTTGTATTTGAAGAGTACGAAGTTTCATTTGAGGAAGATGAAAAAATTCTAGGGATGGATGGTGGTAGTTGCACAACAGTGTGAAAGTACTTAATACCGAAGAAATATACACTTAAAATGGTTAAAATGGCAAATTTTATGCTATGTATATTTATGGCCAGTAAAAGTAATAGCAAAAACTGCAGTTACTTTTCACCAACCTAATAAGCATAATAAAAAGGATTTAAAAGGGCCTGGTGTGGTTGCTTATACCTATAGTCCCAGCAGTTCGGGAGGCTGAGGTGCAAGGATCACTTGAGCCCAGGAATTGGAGACCAACCTGGACAACATAGTGAGACTCCATCTTAAGGAAAATAGAAAAGATTAGCCAGGTGTGGTGGCACATGCCTGTAGTCTCAGCTACTCAGGAGGCTGAGGTGGAAAGATAGCTTGAGCTCGGAGGTTGAGGCTACAGTAAGCCGTGATCATGCCACCACACTCCAGCCTGGGTGACAGAGCAAGACCCTGTCTCAAAAAAATAAAAAAAAAATTACAAAGGCCAGGCGCAGTGGCTTACACCTGTAATCCCAGCGCTTTGGAGGGCAGGAGGATCACTTGAGGCCAGAAGTTCAAGACCATCCTGGGTAACATACTGAGACTCTGTCTCTATGAAAAATTTTAAAAATTAGCAGAGTGTGGTGGTACACACCTGTAGTCCCAGCTACTCAGGAGGCTGAGGTGGGAGGATTACTTTAGCCCAGGAGTTCAAGGCTGCGGTGAGCCATGAGTGTGCCACTGCTTGCCAGCCTGGGTGGCAGAGCAAGACCCTGCCTCTTTAAATAATAATAAAATAATTTTTAAAAGGCAGAGATTCTAAACTTTTTGGGGGGAAAGGAGTTGTGAATCATATTTTCTGGTCAATCAAGTCCAAATTGTTTTTCCTACTAGTTAGTGTCTTTGGGTAAATAATTTGACATCAGTTTCTTCCACTGTAAAATGGGGATACAGTGGTTTTTACCCCATAAGATCATAAGAGATCATGTATTTGGTAACACTTTGTGAACTGTAAATCTCTACACAAAAAGTTAATTGAAATTAATAACTAATAGCTGCCGTGTATTGACCACTTTCACTGTGCTGAGTTTAATGTACATCTATCTCATTTAATCATCATAGCAACCTTATGAACTAATTTGTTCTGTTTATAAATAATGAAACTGAGGCTTAGAGAAGCTAAGTAGTTGCTCAAGGCCATATAGGTAGTAAATGACAAAACTGTCCTTAGAATCTAGATCTATTTCCTAGGCCACTGCCCTTAACCACTATAAAAAGGGTATTTTGTCTTAGTAGTTGCAAGGTCACTTTTGAGACTTGGCAGTCTGAAGAATTGTCTTTGCTGAAATCTTCAACTTCCTGAAAAAATATATTTGCTATACTGAGTTTTGCTACTAAGACAAACTTTTAAAGAATTTTTGGAATATTTGTCTTTTATTTTTGTCTCTATTTCCCTACTTCTTTTTTCTTTGTTTCTTGTTTTGTTTTGTTTTGACACAGGCCCTTGCTCTGTCACTCAGGCTGGAGTGAAGTGGCTTGAACACGTCTCACTTGCAGTCTCGACCTCCAGGGCTCAAGCAGTCCTCTTGCTTCAACTTCCTGTGTAGCTGGGACCACAGACACAAGCCACCACACCTGGCTGATTTTTTTTTTTTTTTTTTTTTGAGACCGAGTCTCACTCTTTCACCCAGGCTGGAGTGAAGCGGCATGATCTCAAAGCCTCTGCTGCCCCGCCACCCCCATCCCGGGTTCAAGCGATTCTTTTTTTTGTGTGTGTGGAGACAGCGTTTCACTTTGTTGCCCAGGCTGGTCTCATACTCCCATTCTCAAATGATCCTCCTGCCTTGGCCTCCCAAAGTGCTGGGATTGCAGGAGTGAGCTACTGTGCCTGGCCACTTCTTTTTTCTTTGAAGAGACTTGCTATAATATTCACTTCTTCCGAACTGTATTTGTTATTATTACTTTAGAGGTCATGTTTATTTAGCATTTATAATGTTGCGCAGCTCATCATCATTAAAAAAATTATTAGGAATCATTCTGAGTACACTACTAAACTTTATGAACTTAAATATACCCACTGTTAGCACCTAATAAAGAAGTTCTTAATTTGAGGTCCATGGTCACCTAGAGGTCTATGGATTGCTTCAAAAAGTCAAACCCCTTGAGATTGTATGAAAATGTTGAGTAAATAAATATATTTTAAAATCAGATTCTCAAAGTGATCTGTGATCTCAAAAGAGATTAAGAAGCTTTTTCCTAAAGGGAAGTGTTATTTCTAAGACCTGATTCTGTAAACCTCAACTACTGTGAGCATTTCCCTGTGGTACAGATATGGATATAACAACTAGTGGGAGCAGCTAAACAATTCAAATTTAGGGTCCTAAGTGAAGACTGACTCAAAAGATTTTGTGTTTGCGGGGAGCGTGCCTTGATACATGAGTACACTTAGCCCACTGGTTCTCTTGTCACTGCTGAGAACCCACTCAAAAGAGCTTTTTGCCCTTTCTCATTTGCTACCCTCAGGTTTGCTGTAGGTTTAGAAACCAAGAAACAAGCTAGGCGGAGTGGCTTACGCCTGTAATCCCAGCAGTTTGAGAGGCCGAGGCAGGTGGATCACGAGGTCAGGAGTTCGAGACCAGCATGGCCAGCATGGCGAAACCCTGTCTCTACTAAAAATACAAAAAAATTAGCCAGGCATGGTGTCACGCACCTGTAGTCCCAGCTACTCCGGAGGCTGAGGTAGGAGAATTACTTGAACCCGGGAGGCAGAGGTTGCAGTGAGCGAAGATCGTGCCACTGCACTCCAGCCTGGGCGACAGGGTGAGACTCTGTCTCAAAAAAAAAAAAACCACCAAGAAACAAATCCTATGCGAATTGTGTTAAAGAGTAAATTGGAGCCAAGGGCAGTGGCTCACACCTGTAATCCCAACACTTTGGGAAGACAGGAGTTTCAGACCAGCCCAGGCAATGTAGCAGGACCCTGTCTCTAATAAATAGATAAGAGAGAGGATAGATGGGTGGTTGGGTGGGTGGGTGGGTGGATGGATGGATGGATGGATGGATGGATGGGTAGTTAGATAGGCAGGCAGGCAGGTGTAGTGGTTCACGCCTGTAGTCCTAGCTAGTCAAGAGACTGAGCCGGGCGCGGTGGCTCAAGCCTGTAATCCCAGCACTTTGGGAGGCTGAGACGGGCGGATCACGAGGTCAGGAGATCAAGACCATCCTGGCTAACCCGGTGAAACCCCGTCTCTACTAAAAAAATACAAAAAACTAGCCGGGCGAGGTGGCGGGTGCCTGTAGTCCCAGCTACTTGGGAGGCTGAGGCAGGAGAATGGCGTGAACCCGGGAGGCGGAGCTTGCAGTGAGCTGAGATCCGGCCACTGCACTCCAGCCTGGGCGACA